TTCCTGAGCTGAACCTGTTGAAGAATGTGTTCAGCTCATTTGCTCTGTCCCGATTTCCATCCATCCAATTCTCCTTTTGCTTCATCCCTGACCACACATCTCTGATATTGTTCCTTTTCAGTTTACTCTCCAGCTTCCTTCTTTAAACCTCCTTGTTGTCTCTGATCTTGACTTTGAGCTGCTTCTGTGTACTCCTCAATAACTTCCTGTCTTGATCCCTAAAGGCTCTTTTTTTGCTCATCAACTGAAATCTGTGGCATTGTTTATGGTTCAGAAATTACAAATATTGTTTCCCCACATACTTTAGGGTGGCTTGTATTATTATTTTCTTCTGCTTTTTCAATATTTAACCTCAAAAGAATAGTTTTTATGGTTTCATATGGGACTTTGTATGTAATGCATGTAAAAACACTTCCCTTTTCTTTGACTGACAGGATTGTTGCTCCCTCTGGTGGATATTTAAAGAAATGTGAACAATGAAGAAGAAATCCAAAGGTCATTGTAGTGTTTATTATAGAGATGGAAAAACAGATAAATCCCCATCAACAGTCATTCTTTGTTTATGATGAAGCTGAAAAGAGAAAAATAAATACATGAAAAAATTGTATTTGTATTTGTAATTTACAAACAGAAGTCAACTAAAATGATTAGTTTTTTACTGTGTTTTTGTGGGTTTATTTTTAGATTAAATATACTTTACCAGGCATTGGCTTTATTCTTGTACTGAAGGTGCAGCTTGGTCTTTTTTCTTACACTCTTCACACACGTGGTTACAAAATCTATTAAGAAAACACAGTGCTAAATGGCAGAAGCATGAAAGGTTACTCTGTGTGGATTTAATATATTTTCTCTTTATTTAACCGAAAATATGCAGCAAGGACATTTTAAGCAACTTGAATATAATGTAACACTTTTTTACGACTGAGTATTAGGGCCAGACTACCAGAATGATTTTAAATCACGAGAATAAAGTCAGAAGACAATGAGAAAAAACTTGAGAACTCCTACATGCGGTTTTACCACTGCATCAAAACGTGAAATGGTGAACATCTTGTGAAATTAAACTTCAAAATCAGTTTTACAAATAAGGACATACTTAATTTTTAAACACATCAAAATCAAATTATAATCAGTAGCAGGAATTTGAAACAATTATGCAAATTAATGTGTCCATTGTGTCGTTATTCTCATAAAATTCTGATTTTATTCTCATAGTACTTTGACTTTAATTTCATAAAGCTTTGACTTTAATTTCATAAAGCTTTGACTTTATTCTCATAATGCTTTGACTTTATTCCTATAGTACCTTGACTTTATTCCTATAGTACCTTGACTTTATTCTCATAATCTTTTGATTTTATTCCTATAGTACCTTGACTTTATTCTCATAGTACTTTGACTTTATTCTCATGCTTTGACTTTATTCTCATGCTTTGACTCTATTTTATTATTTATTCCCATAGTACCTTGACTTTATTCCTATAGTACCTTGACTTTATTCCTATAGTACCTTGACTTTATTCCTATAGTACCTTGACTTGTACCATGACTTTATTCTCATAGTACCTTGACTTTCTTCTCATAGTACCTTGACTTTCTCATAGTACCTTGACTTTCTTCTCATAATGCTTTGACTTTATTCTCATAGTACATACTTTATTCTCATAATGCTTTGACATTATTCTCATTGTACTTTGACTTTATTCTCATAGTACAGAATTCATTCTTACTGTACAGACTTTATTCTCATAATGCCTTGACTTTATTTCTATAGTACCTTGACTTTATTCCTATAGTACCTTGACTTTATTCTCATAATGCTTTGACTTTATTCCTATAGTAC